GGGCCGGGCCGGGGACCCCGGGTTGGGGACCGGGGGGCATGATGTCCTCTGCGGGGGCGAGGGGGGGCCTCGGGGGACTGGTGCGGAGGGCTGAGTCAGGGCGGCCGGGAGGAGCCGGGAGCCCGGGTGGGGCGGGCCGCGTCTGGTCGCGTGGATCCTCCCTCCCGTTGCAAGGGGGACACCTGCGACGTGGGAGGGTTGGGAGCCCCCCCTCGTGGTCCAGTCCTCAGCCCGTTAGAACACCTGAGAAGTGCGACTCGGGCCAGCCAGTTAACCCGCGCAGTCGAGAAAGCTCCAGTCTTTGCGGGGCGGCAAAGCCCTTACCAAGCCTTTCATTCTACAAACTGCAAACGAACGTCCGTGCCCAGGTGTTAAGGAATTTACGGGAATTAAAACACCGTGCACTGCTAGCCCGAGACTCCTTACCGCGTGATGGACAGTGCCCCTTCTGCTGTTTCCTCTGGTGATTTCAGTATCTGAATTACAACTGAAGCCCCATAGGATAAGCTGTGATGTTTGAAATACTAGAACAGGAAAACGAATTGGGCCACAAAACGACATGTTTGAAGCATTTCCTTCAGAAAGAAATGCAAAAAAAAAAAAGGGACAAGACTGTGAGTGTGCGTGCGTTTGTGTTTCATCCAGAGTAGCAAATAGTGTGATAATTGAGGAGGCTTTAGTTGCCAATCGAGAGTTTCACCATGTGAAAAAATGTATCTTATTTTCTGACTTCAATTCTGCAGGGGTTTTTTTTTTGGGTGCGGCTTGAAATTGAAACGCCACAATTTTTACAGCAAATGGAGTTTTCTTTCCTCGTTGTTATTGTTACATTTTGGGTTTCAGGAAGAATTTGGGTAGATGGTGCTTTTGTTGGAAGGAGTAGCATCATGTGCCACTGGCCACTGTTAAAATAAATTGTAGTGAAATAGTAAAGCTTGAATGAAATATTTTACTAACAGGAAGAGTTCAGAAACATTAGGCATCCCCAATAAAACGATTTTTAAAAAGGAAATATTAGGCATGTTTTCTCAAATTTCACTGTTGGAAGCTATTTAACATTAATTTCTCCAATTACCAAATTGTGCCATCTGTTTATTGACATGGGAACAGAGGGACTTTCTTCTTGCTTGTGTATCCCTGAGCAAAATACTAGTGGTTCCTTCTTTCCTATTTTCTTTTGTTTTTCACATTTATAAATGTGGAAGATTACCAAGCATGGTCTTTTATTTACTCATTGAAGTGTGTGATAAGCCAACTAACAGGAAAAGAAGGTTATACTGGTAGATATTAAGATATTAATTAAGAATTAAGATATTAACCTGTGAGTTACTGAGATCAGCTTTACATTAATAATTAATGACCAGATCATTTTGTATATTTATTTTCTCTAAATGTTTGAACACTGCATTCATATAACCTATTTGAAAATATATATGCATCTTGGGCCTCATATTTTTTGGTGACTTTAGTTACGTGATGGTTGGTAAATAACTAAGTTTTAATGGTTGTTACTAAGAAATGTATTTATCTGTTTAGCCTTGCAAGAGACTCTGCTCTTGAGTGTTTAATTACAAGTAAAAAGTTGTCACTGTCCCTGAAGGGGAGGGGGAAAAACCATTATACCTTCAGTCACTGCTGCTGTTTCCTGTTCCTGCTGCCATAGGATCTAAGTTGTAGGACAAGTCAGGGAGTGCCTTTTTTTTTTTTAACTTCCCTTTCTTAGTCATAGCTGGAGAACGTTGGAAAACATCAGGATGCAGTCAAGGATTATGTATCCTGTTTTTCATGCATGATGAAGTAGAATTTTGTTTTCTTCTTTGGCATTGAGGAAAAAAGGTTAAATCAAAATAAAACCAAGCGTTTGAATCCAATATTTACAGATAATGATTCTTGAAACAAACACAAATATTATTTGTCTTGTGACATTGAAACAGCTTCATGTAAGAAATTCGAACTGCAGTATATTTTAGTTAACAGAAATGATTTAGTAATAGATGATTCAGTTATTTTAATAGCATAAGCCGTGGAACCTGTCCAGCATACCTTCTTAGTTTCAACCCTTGTTGACAAATCTTTGGAACAGTCTATCTGCAGTGCTTTTAAATGATAACCTCAAGATGGACATTCAGAACATGGATTTTTTTTTTTACTTTTTAGTGTGATATTTAGTGAAGTTTACAGAGTAGATCAGCTTTCCATTCAGCTGCTCCTACACCTTTTGTTTCATGTAATTGATTACAATTCTCAGCATGTAACATCACTTACCCCATTCCTCCCTGGAAGTTTCCTGTTCCTCCAATTTGCAGAACTTCTCTGAACTTTGTTCTTGGGTAAGTGCTACCCCTTTGGTCTCAGTTCTTTGCTTAAGGTGTGTTTATGTTCCCCTTATATACATGAATATTGTCTGGTTGAAAATTGAGCCATACCGGTGACTAGGGGCCATCACTATCTGATCAGTAAGTTTGGTCTTTTTTTAAGATTTTCAGATCTGTACAACCTTTTCCTCTTACTATATCCAGGACATACTGAAGTGATTCCTTTCAGAGCAATTCCTAGTGGTAGCCAGGCATTGTCTGGTTCTCTGGCCTCAGGGTCTTGAAGACTGATGAACAAAAATTCTTACGTAGTTCAGTTTTCCAGTGTCCTCTGTATAAAAAAAGTAATGGGAATAATAATTTTTCCCAACTTTTGCAAATATTCTTCACTTTTCATACTGTACTCCCAACTTGTTTACTTTTTCTATCTTCAATGGTCTTTCTTTTTCTCTTGAGGAAGCCAATTTTTAAAAAAATCATTTTATTAGGGG